AAGTGGAGGTGGGGGATTAGCGTTCCTGTTACACCATTCTGTTCAATACAGACCTATCTCGCTTGAGCTATTCTCTAGTGACCCGTACATGGAGTGTATGGGGGTAGCAGTCAAGTGTGGTACTGCCGAGGTAGAGGTGCTTAATGTGTATATCCCGCCGGTTAATAGCTTTGAACCGCGTTACTTGCCTAATATAAGCCCACTTTTGGAAGGCAATAACCGCCTGATACTAGGGGACTTCAATGCCCACCATGAGTTGTGGCATTCCGCCCTAGGTAATGACCAGAGGGGATCAGCGTTGGCAGAGTAGATTGACTGCTTCACATTTTGCACGGTAAACGAGGATGCCCCCACCCGAATAAGAGGAGAGTGTCACAGTTCGCCAGATTTAACCAAACTGTCACCCGCAGAGCATAAGTGGAAAAAGTGACTAGACCATCTGAAGTGTTGCAACATTGGAACCGATTTGAGTAAACTGTGGGTAACGGTAAAGTCACTCTCGAACCCTGGAAAAAAGGATGATAGGACAGCAGTCACATTTAACGACGTAACTGTGACTGATCCGAAGAGGTGCGCTGGCTGTTTTAACCGCCAATTTGTCGAGCACCCCGAGAGTGATAGGGCGAGGCGAAGAGTACTACGTCGTATAAGAGCTCTTCCCGCCGAGGATGTACCTCCACAGTTTACGATGGGTGATGTTGCGAATGTCATCCGAAACGCTAAGTCATCTAAAGAGTTGGGCCCGGACGGAATATCAATGGTAATGTTGAAGCAACTGGATACGCCGGAAGTTGAGTATTTAATCAAAGTCCTTAACTTGTCGTTAGCCACCCACATAGTTCCCGAAGCCTGGAAAATGGGCAGGGTGTATCAGAGGAAGCTATTCAGTTGCGAACCATCAACACGGTTTCCGTCCACTACATAGCACTACAACAGCATTGCACGCCATATCCACACACATCAGTCGAGGACTCAACCAGAACAGGCCGTGCCACAGAACAGTAGTGGTGGCTCTCGACCTATCAAAGGCCTTTGATACGGTCAAAGCCCTTCGGCCAAGTTTGAAACGATAGTCAACTATATGTGTGGACGCCAGTCGTACGTGGAATTCCGGAATAAGAAGTCCAAGCCTCGTAGAGTGAAACAGGGAGTTCCCCAAGGAGGTGTGATATCTCCGGAACTGTTTAACCTCTACCTTTCCGGAATTCCGCGCCCTCCAGACGGCATCGAGATCGTAATTTATGCGGATGATTGTACGATCATGGCGTCGGGTCCTGTAGTTGATAACATATGTGTCAGGGTGAATAACTACCTCGCGGAGCTTGCCGCCTTCTTCCACGCGAGGAATATGAGAATATCCGCCACTAAATCGACGGCCACACTATTTACCACATGGACTGCGGAGATGAGAACACAGCTGAATGTGCAGGTCGAGGGGCATATAATTCCGACCATAATTTACATTCGATAGCATGTTCAAGTCTTCCGCGCAAGCCACAGCTATTTGCGATAAAATGAAAAGTAGGAACAAGGTCCTCAAGGCGCTAGCCGGCAGCACTTGGGGTGCGGATAAGGAAACCTTGTTGACCTCTTATAAAGCGATAGGTCGGTCTGTGGTTAGCTATGCGGGTCCAGTGTGGTCGGCGAATACAAGTGCAACGCAGTGGAAAAGTATTCAGACCTGCCAGAATGCCGCCCTGAGAACTGCAACAGGGTGCCTCCTCATGACGCCTGTGGACCACCTACATGAGGAGACGAAGGTTCTTCCCTTACGTCAGCATAATCATATGTTTTCGTTGCAGTACCTGCTTGGGTGTTATCGCGGGAGTCACCCTAACCACCATATGGTGGATAGAACTCCCCCACCCAGGCGTGTCAGGAAGGACATGCACGATCTAGAGAGAGAGGTCCAGCAATATAAGAGAGAGCCTCTAGATCATGAAGCCTATCAAGCGGGTCTGAATAGCATTCATACTGATGCAGTCGCAGAGGTAGTTAATAATTACAGTATGAATGCCATACTCGGAGTCCACCCCCCATCCATTGCAGCTGAAGAACGTCGGCTGCCTAGGCAAACCAGGGTAGTTTTGGCCCAACTACGTTCAGGATGGTGCAGCCGTCTCAATTCGTATTGGGTACGCTGCACTTGTTTAATTGTCCAGCCAAACCTACCCAACTCCGTCCAGAGGATCTATGGCTACAGCCCATAAAGGTAGCAGAATTCCTAAACCTGGACATTGAGGAAGAACCGGATTAGTCAGAAAAAACAACGGAACATGTAAAACTGCTACAACAACAAAGACAATTATCCATGGCTCCTGTCATGGAAATGGTATTTGCGTCCAGGTTTGCTCCAGAAACAACGTCTGAAGATATAAATTATCTATATATATAAATGTAAGTTGTGTTAGTTACTACGCTTATAACTTAGGAACAGCTGGACTGATTTTAACGATTCACACAAATTCGGAGTTGTCTCCTCTCCGAAAAGGATAATATCCAGAAAAATCGCGTAAAAATGTGATATATTAACATTTTCATTTTGACTTTTCAAATGTACAATAGTAATGTTTTATTTTGTATGATTTTTTTCCATTTTGACTTACTTTTTTCTAATGTACATTTGTAGTGTTTTTTATATTTTATTTGATGGCGGGTTACATGGAAGCGTAGTACCGAATTATATGGTGGCGAAACGGAATAGATGATATCGAAATAATTTAACGCGGTCACACCAAAAGAAAGATAATTATTAATTAAAAAATAATTACTTTGTCAAAATCGCTAAAAAAATCACGGAAAAGAGATCTCATTGCAAAAATTCTCAAATCGGGAAAAAATCGAAAAAATTTTCAGTGGAATCGAATTTTAAAATGATAGTAAGGGTCTTTAAACATTTGCTGTAATAAATCAGCGAACAGGTTGAAGATTTTTTCAATTTGTTATTCTTCTTTTGTCATTTTTTTCAATTTGTATTATCATATTGAATTCAATTGATTTTTTGTGGACAAAATAAAGAATAATTTTTCACTATATACAATTTTTCACCAAAAAAAAAAATGAAATAAGTGCGAAATACGATGTTAACTGACATCTAATTTTCGATTACAGGGCCGACATCGTGGTTCAGATGGAAGATGCGAACACATTTAAACAACCAAAAATGACAGAAAAAGCCAAATGGAGCTCATTTCAAAGCGTGGACCTACTTCTTTCATGTGACAATAATCCGTCCAATGCAAAATTCTTTGGGAGTACAATCAGTAAAATACCAAATATAAAGGGTGGAAAATAGTAGAGCGAATTAGACTCTTAGTAAGAAAAGGATTTCTATCCTTCCAGAAATTCTTCACAAACATTCAAGATACCTTAAACCACTTTTGCAGGTCATGATATCGATCATAACTCACGATAAGGGTACATCCCGATTTCATATTTATATAACCATCATATGATTTAAGCTATTTTTGGGGTCTTGGCCACTTTTTTCATTGCTTGGCCCATATTTGGCATCATTGTCTCTAAGGGGTTAGGGAACCATCATCCAGATAATTGCCACATAGGAATTTATTTAAGTAAAGTCCCCACATTGGAGTATACCCAAGTCCACTTTCACATATAATGTGTGGTCAGAAAATAAAATTTTGTATTCTATTGGATTTGTAACCCCCAAGACAATATTGGTTGGAAACGTATATTTGGGATATACATCTATATGAAATAAATTGTGGAAACATGAACAAATTACAAATATATGAAATTAGCACGGGACCGAATATTTGTTGAATCGTCATTGAATTATACTATGATGAAAAATATGGTGGATAAAACTATTTTTACTCATTTAAATCACGCGAAATTTTTTTCAGTTGTTGTTGTTCTGCTATATTTTTGATTTGGTCTCTATTTGTCAGATTGGATTATAAGGGCTAGAAGAATGTTTTCAATATAGGTCGATGTCTCGGAGTAGTGCCCATATAAAAGTACCTCCTGATTTTACCATATTTCAAAGGATTTGGCTAAAAATGTGTATTTGGGGGTGAAAATCTTAAACAAAAATTTGAACATATCTACAAATTTTAGGATTTTTTTTCCATATAATAGTACCCCCTCAAGTCCACTTTTTGGCGGACAAACAGACCGACATGGTTAGAGGGACTTATAAGAACTCTAATGGACAATCTGAGGTGCTAATGGCTTTAAAAAAGTAATTTACTTTGGCTATTCTTAATTCATTCAACCCTCAATTATGAGGTGTACAAAATACAGTAAATTCCAAATTACTGCTCATTTGAATGGAAAATTATGCTACGATTTTTACCATACTAAAAATTAATTTGATCCCTTACATGGGGATTAGATTGATATATACATTTTAATAGATTTGTATAGCACATCCACACCTTTGAAGTCCACGGTTTAAATATTGAAGCCCACGGCTTAAATATGGGTACAGGTATTTAAAAAGCCTTTTAATCGACAAGTACGCGAACACTTATATCATTCATATCTTTGAATAATTATGCTTTGACAAATATGCATAATAGACAAAAACTACGGGCCGGCAACGCGGACCGGGCCAGCTAGTTATATATATTTCTGGAAAGATCTGATTTAGCACACTTGTCTCTAAGACCAGTTTCATTTCCCAAAAAAAAAAACTAATTCACTCATTTCCCACTTGCTATCAGTATGTAAGGGGGCTTAACACAAAGTCAACCCGTTTACATACTGATTTTAGAAAAGTGTTGTGGGTTTCTCCTATACTTCGTTAAAAACGAAATATTAAAAAATATCGTGTTGTTAAAAAGGTCGATGGCTTATTGCAGTTTATGCCAAATATACCACTAATTTAATTGATCTAAATGATTTTCTTGATAAAAAGCTTATTGCTTTTTCCATTGAATTGGGTAAATTTAAACTGTTTGCAACTTATCCCTGGCCTCGTTTTGAGCCATTCCAAATCAATAAAATATGTATTTACAATGTGTTCTTCTTACCTGTATATACCTTTTTCTTCTGTTAATCCAGATGTTTCTGCTCTAAAGCAACGGCTTACGGCTGCAACTTTTAATGGAAGTTCATTTTCTTCAAGCATATAGTTTTCAAAAAAACCAGCTAAGGCCATTTCCGATGTTCCAGACAAGCACAATCCAGAATCCAGTGGCATTCCGCCCTAGGTAATGACCAGAGGGGGTCAGCGTTGGCAGAGTAGATTGACTGATTCACATTTTGCACGGTAAACGAGGATGCCCCCACCCGAATAAGAGGAGAGTGTCACAGTTCGCCAGATTTAACCAAACTGTCACCCGGTCTGATAAATGACGTGACTTGGCAACCCGTCATTTCTCTTGGCTCAGACCATCTCACGATAATCGTCTCCATCAGCAGATCGCCCGATTTCATAACCTCTGAACGCCGCACTTTCCTTAACCATGGGAAATCCCACTGGCCCGAGTTCAGAGAGTTCACAAACTTCGCTTCAGAGAACTGCCCAATCCTTCTGATGTTCGGGTAGCTGAAAGGATTTCCATCAAAGCTGCAGCCGCTCGCTATATACCTGCTGGTCGAATACCCGAAGTAAGACCAAATTTCCCAGCAAAGGCAGCGGTATTAGCGAATGAGCGTGATGAGCTCCGACGTACCAACCCTACTAATCCCAGAGTCAGTGAACTGACAGTGGAAGTCAACCGGTTGGTACAGGAGCATAAGCGGAAAAAGTGACTAGACCATCTGAAGTGTTGCAACATTGGAACCGATTTGAGTAAACTGTGGGTAACGGTAAAGTCACTCTCGAACCCTGGAAAAAAGGATGATAGGACAGCAGTCACATTTAACGACGTAACTGTGACTGATCCGAAGAGGTGCGCTGGCTGTTTTAACCGCCAATGTGTCGAGCACCCCGAGAGTGATAGGGCGAGGCGAAGAGTACTACGTCGTATAAGAGCTCTTCCCGCCGAGGATGTACCTCCACAGTTTACGATGGGTGATGTTGCGAATGTCATCCGAAACGCTAAGTCATCTAAAGCGTTGGGCCCGGACGGAATATCAATGGTAATGTTGAAGCAACTGGATACGCCGGAAGTTGAGCATTTAATCAAAGTCCTTAACTTGTCGATAGCTACCCACATAGTTCCCGAAGCCAGGAAAATGGGCAGGGTGGTCCCGCTACTGAAGCCTGGCAAAGGCGAATCATACAGGCCAATTTCGCTTTTGTTGCCAGTAGCAAAGACTCTCGAGGCCTTACTCCTCCCCAGTATCAGAGGAAGCTATTCAGTTGCTAACCATCAACACGGTTTCCGTCCACTACATAGCACTACAACAGCATTGCACGCCATATCCACACATATCAGTCGAGGACTCAACCAGAACAGGCCGTCCCACAGAACAGTAGTGGTGGCTCTCGACCTTTCAAAGGCCTTTGATACGGTCAACCATGCCACGCTGTTCGAGGACGTTGAGAACACTACCCTCCGGCCAAGTTTGAAACGTTGGATAGTCAACTATATGTGTGGACGCCAGTCGTACGTGGAATTCCGGAATAAGAAGTACAAGCCTCGTAGAGTGAAACAGGGAGTTCCCCAAGGTGGGGTGATATCTCCGGAACTGTTTAACCTCTACCTTTCCGGAATTCCGCGCCCTCCAGACGGTATCGAGATCGTAACTTATGCGGATGATTGTACGATCATGGCGTCGGGTCCTGTAGTTGATGACATATGTGTCAGGGTGAATAACTATCTCGCGGAGCTTGCCGCCTTCTTCCACGCGAGGAATATGAGAATATCCGCCACTAAATCCACGGCTACACTATTTACCACATGGACTGCGGAGATGAGAACACAGCTGAATGTGCAGATCGAGGGGCATATAATTCCGACCATAATTTACGTTCGATAGCATGTTCAAGTCTTCCGCGCAAGCCACAGCTATTTGCGATAAAATGAAAAGTAGGAACAAGGTCCTCAAGGCGCTAGCCGGCAGCACTTGGGGTGCGGATAAGGAAACCTTGTTGACCTCTTATAAAGCGATAGGTCGGTCTGTGGTTAGCTATGCGGGTCCAGTGTGGTCGGCGAATACAAGTGCAACGCAGTGGAAAAGTATTCAGACCTGCCAGAATGCCGCCCTGAGAACTGCAACAGGGTGCCTCCTCATGACTCCTGTGGACCATTTACATGAGGAGACGAAGGTTCTTCCCTTACGTCAGCATAATCATATGCTTTCGTTGCAGTACCTGCTTGGGTGTTATCGTGGGAGTCACCCTAACCACCATATGGTGGATAGAACTCACCCACCCAGGGGAGGACCTGCACGATCTAGGTAGAGAGGTCCAGCGATATAAGAGAGAGCCTCTAGATCATGAAGCCTATCAATCGGGTCTGAATAGCATTCATACTGATGCAGTCGCAGAGGTAGTTAATAATTACAGTATGAATGCCATACTCGGAGTCCACCCCCATCCATTGCAGCTGAAGAACGTCGGCTGCCTAGGCAAACCAGGGTAGTTTTGGCCCAACTACGTTCAGGATGGTGCAGCCGTCTCAATTCGTATTGGGCACGAATTGATGAGGATGTGCGGAACGCCTGCCCAGCGTGCGATACAGGCCCGCACAACACGCTGCACTTGTTTAGAAAAGTGTTGTGGGTTTCTCCTATACTTCGTTAAAAACGAAATATTAAATATTAAAAAATATCGTGTTGTTAAAAAGGTCGGTGGCTTATTGCAGTTGATGCCAAATATACCACTATTTTAATTGATCTTAATGATTTTCTTCATAAAAAGCTTATTGGTTTTTCCATTGAATTGGGTAAATTTAAACTGTTTGCAACTTATCCCTGGCCTCGTTTTGAGCCATTCCAAATCAATAAAATATGTATTTACAATGTGTTCTTACCTGTATATACCTTTTTCTTCTGTTAATCCAGATGTTTCTGCTCTAAAGCAACGGCTTACGGCTGCAACTTTTAATGGAAGTTCATTTTCTTCAAGCATATAGTTTTCAAAAAAACCAGCTAAGGCCATTTCCGATGTTCCAGACAAGCACAATCCAGAATCCAGTTTGTATACCTGTTGAAAAATGTCACTATAATTTCAAAAATTCTGACTATCATATATTACAGTTTATGGGGCTATACGAAAACGTGGATCTCTACAGACAATTATGCGCCAGAGATAATTCTGTTGAAAATTTTAGCCAAAAATTCATAAAGTACTGAATATTTGGAGGTACCGTTATATGGGGGCTATACAAAGGCGTGGGTCTGTACTGAGCCAAATCGACGTAGAGTCTTATGCTGATAAAGAATATATACTTTGTTGGGTCGAAAATGCTTAATATATTCTGAGGGTATAAAAATTCATCTATTAATTGGATTGTTTCGGGAACAAACTGACGAACATCTTATTAGAAGAATGGATTAATACCCGAATTACACTGGACACATCTACAACATCACATTTCTTCTTACTTATAATTGGGCTTCCTTCGTTTGTGACTGTTTAAGGAGCGTCGATTTATAGAAACCTTTATGCTATTTATTGTAAATGTTTATTGTTTCAATTACAAATTAGCAATTTTATTGTCTAGTTTTGCTTTAACCTCTTGGTTACGTTTCTTTTTTCAGATGTTTTTGCTCTAAAGCAACGGGTTACGGCTGCAACTTTTAATGGAAGTTCATTTTCTTCAAGCATATAGTTTTCAAAAAAACCAGCTAAGGCCATTTCCGATGTTCCAGACAAGAACAATCCAGAATCCAGTTTGTATACCTGTTTGAATTCAAACAGAAGAGCAAATTAATAGTGTGTAAATCTAAAAATTTTAGTCCTAAATCTATCGGAGGCCTCACAAGGCCTTTGAAACAATCGGAATATTACAAATAATACTGAGTTGAATCAATATTACTGGAGTGCAATAAATAAAAAGGCTAAAATTATTGTTCCTTATAAGGCTTCAACATCAATTTTTGCGATTTTTTTTTAACAAAATAAGAGCTTCTTCTCCTTATTCGAGTTGATAGTCCAATATCAAAGGCCAGAAATGGCCATCTAAACCGATTTTTTAAAAAATGTTAAATAAATTTTATAAAATCAACTTTTTTAATTTGCCACTTATTATTTGGAGGAGTTAAACTGCCTGCAAACAAAAACTGATCTATGCAAAATTTTAGCTTCCTATCTTTATTCATTTTTTTTACTCTAGCGTGATTACAACACACGGAAAATTTTACGCTGATCAAGAATATGTATACTTTGTTATGTCTAAAATGATTATTTCGATGAGTTACAAACTTAATGACGAACTTAATATACCCTCCATACTATGTACGGTGGAGGGTATAATAATTTGGAAAAAAACAAAAACAGTACATTTGGCATTCTATTTTCTACGAATGCTATCACAATTAGTTTCGTCACATTTGTGTTGTGATCTCATGTTCGTAATGGAAAAATAAAATAAAATTTAACAACAAATATAACATGAGCATAAATTCTTAGTAAAAATTGCATTGTTCGGCACATATTTACAAAGTTAGATTTTTTGTGTATACTATATATAAGTGTGTACGTATATTTACGTACGCATTTTAGATAATTTTAGTTTTGTAGATTAATCTAATCAATTTTATTTTAAAATTGAATTCTTGGTCGATATTTTAAATTTGTAAGGATAAAATTTTCGATTCGTTTCGTCAGCTGAAAATGTGCAATTTCGCATCATAACTTACAGAGTTCTATTTGATATTTTTTTTAATGGAGATTTCATAATTAAGCTCGCGATTACCTCTGGGGTTCATGCTACTTAAGAACTTGTTTTTTCCATTGTATTGTTAATATTTCAAAATAGCTATAATAATAGCTTGGTTGTAACTCAGAACGATGATAATTGCTTGTTTTAATTCATATACATGAAGGCTTGGTAACCTATCAGTTTGATTGAAACACCTTGGTAAATGTTAAATTGTTTATTATTGTTATTGTAATGTTTATTATTGATTAAATTTCGGTTCATATTATTAAATTAAATAAAGTAACACAAAACTTAACGTAGTTCACAAGGTTTCTCTTATTTTAAACTTACTAACAAAACAGACTTCATGTTCACTTCAATAAACTCAATATACTTTTATGTTCACTTCTAAACATATATTAGGTTGAACTTCTATACAGCAACTGCATGTACGCCTCATTTTCGGCGTTAAGTGCAAGCTCGTCAATTCACATGCGCCTATGCTAAACAAGTCTTCGTGTGGTCATGTTCAGTGGGAGACCATGTTCAGTTTTCATTCACATTACAATTAGTACATTACGCAACAATATATATAATGTAATGGAACACGAGTGCGTAGATGTATCACCTGTTTCATATATAATTCATATGTATATGTATTACGATATGACATACCAAATACAAACCTATCTCAAAGATTTAAGTCAACATTGCACATCATTATTATGACATTGAAGAATGCGAAGATCATCATAGTTGTTAAATGACAATCCCAGGAGTCATTAGCAAAACTAAAAATGATCACTACGCAACGAGCAATTGAATAAAAGGTGCCAGAGATGAATTCCAGATAATAATTCACCTGCGATAACAGTAAAGATACGACCACTATCTTTCTAACATGAAAATGCATCAATACAATACAGACTCAGTAGCTGAAACAATACACGGCAAAGCAAGACAGTAACTTCCGATAAATTACAATACCACCATTACCGTGGGTATTAAACAAAACCCCAGAGAATGCCTGCTTGGAAACTGACGTAGTGAAGTCGGCGTGGGTGTTTATAGATCTTGCATACTTTTAATCGCGCAAGCGACCTGCGGATGATAACAGGAGCATTTTTTATATATATAGGATTTGTGGTAAAGCTATGATGAGAAATGAGAGGCGTAAGGAGTAGTAATGATATTTCGCCTAAATTCATGCTCAATATGAATTGAGGCAGCTGCACCATACTGAACGTAGTTGGGCCAAAACTACCCTGGTTTGCTTAGGCAGCCGACGTTCTTGAGCTGTGGATAGGGGTGGACTCCGAGGATGGCTTTCATACTGTAATTGTTAACTACGTCTGCGACTGCATCAGTATGAATGCTATTCAGACCCGCTTGATAGGCATCATGATCTATAGGCTCTCTCTTATATCGCTGGACCTCGGTCTCTCTCTCTCCTTCCTGACACGCCTGGGTGCGGAAGTTCTGTCAACAAGGTTTCTTTATTATCTAGCGCCCTGAGGGCCTTTTTCCTACTTTTCAATTTATCGCAGATAGCTGTGACTTGCGCGGACGACTTGAACATGATGTCGAACATGAACCCAAGGATTTTGGGATAGCTAGTGGTCGGAATTATGTGCCCCTCGACCGGCACATTCAGCTCCATGTGGTAAATAGTGTGGTCGTTGATTTGGTGGCGTATATTTTCATATTCCTCACATGGAAGAAGGCTGCAAACTCCCCGAGATAGCTGTTCACTCTGACACATATGTCATCAACTATAGGACCCGACGCCATGATCGTACAGTCATCCGCATGTGTTACGATCTCGATGCCGTCTGGAGGGCGCGGATTTCTGGATTTCTCTGTAGAGGTTAAACAATTCCGGAGATATCTCCAAACGTTGGGGAACTCCTTGTTTCACTCTACGGGGCTTGGACTTATTTTTCCGGAATTCCACGTAAGACTGGCGTCCACACATATACGAGGGCGGTTCGGAAACTATCAATGAAAGAGAATAGTTAGTTGTTCAAAAAATTTTTATTTTTCAATATTATCTCCTGAAGCTTCGATACACTTAATCCAACGCTTTTCTATCAATTCTATACCTTGATTAAAATAGTTTTCCTTAAGTTCTTCAAAATAGTGGTTTACAACTGTAATTGCATCTTCATTTGAGGTAAAGCGCTTGCCAGCAAGGCATTTTTTTAGTTTTGCGAACAAGTAACAAGTCACTGGGAGCTAAATCAGGAGAATAAGGTGGGTGGTTAAGCAACTCGTACTTTAATTCGTTGACTTTAGCCATTGTTACAACATTCTTATTCGCTGGAGCGTTATCTTGATGAAAAATTATTTTTTGTGTTGTCCAATTATTTTTTGTGTTGTGACCAGCCTGTTGACTTCCACTGTCAGTTCACTGACTCGGGCATCAGTAGGGCTGGACCTCATCACGCTCTTTCGCTAATCCCGCTGCTTCTAATGGGAAATTTGGTCTTACTTCGGATATACGACCAGCAGGTATATAGCGAGCGGCTGCAGCTTTGATTATGTCCCGGAAAATCCAATTCGCTATCCGAACATCAGAAGGGTTGGATAGTTATCTGGAGCGAAGGTTTGTGTAATCTTTGAACTCAGGCCAATATGCTTTTCCATGATTAAGGAAAGTGCGGCGTTCAGAGATCTGCTGATTAAGAGGATTATCGGAAGATGGTCTAAGGTAATAGAAATGACGGGTTGCCAAGTCACGTCATTTATCAGACCGGGTGACACAATGGTTAAGTCTGGCGAACTGTAACACTCTCCTGTTATTCAGGTGGGACATCCTCGTTTACTGTGCGAAATATGGTTTACCGCGCAAAATGCCACAAATCATGATGGGCAATGAAGGTGGAGTCGATTCCTCGGTGGAACCGAATGAGACCAAAAGCTCATCTCGTTTAACGATGAAGAGGGGACGGTCGACAGAGGAACCACAACCCGAGGCTCCACCAGCTGCGCTATCTAAAAAGAAGGTAATGGTTGCTACGACTCAATAAGCTTCTGTAGAACTTAAGTCTACTAAAGCCAAAACTGAATCTACCAAACCCCAACCTTCGAACCAGCAGAAAAAGGAAATTTTCCCAAACTGTGTACCCGGACAACCTCCGTGTAGCAGTTATTGATCGTACTGAGCCGGAAGGCAAAATCAGCGAAAGTCGTTTAATGCTCATTGAGGACCGTCTGAAGGAGCTAGTTTTTCTAGGGGAAGATCCTAAGGGGCTGCACTGAAGGAATGAAGGTCATTTGCTGCGAAAACGAGGAGTCTAAAAACTTCCTTGTACCCGCAGTAGATGACTTTCGCGGACTTTGGGAGGAAAGCGAAATAGCGGCTGCATCCCTGAAGGATATACCCTGAAGAAAGGTATTATCAGCATTGGTGCCACCACTTTCGGTAGACACGGCACGTATGCTGATAATACTAGGAAAAAATCTCAATCTCTGTACGGACAACTGGCGATTAGTCTGTTCAAGTACAGATGGAGGAGGCCTGGTTATCAAGGTATCTGTTGATACTGCTGGCCAGGAATATCTTCAGGCTCATGGGGGAAACTGAATTTCGGCACGGGATGGATTCGACTCCGTCTGCCGAACTTCTCCTATCCCTCACTAAAACTGAAGTTGACATAGCCCTGGTCCAAGAACACTATATATTCAAAAATATCCTACTCTACCACCTACGGAGAAAAGGTTAGAACATGTATCGTCGCTAAAAAGAGTTTTAACTTAATTTTTCTTTACAATTTCAGCGAAGGAGACGCCACGACGGTTACGCTGGAGAAACGATCTGAAAGAATCCTCATTTTTGTCTTCCAATATCTATCTTATGAACACCCCAACCCGCCAGGCCAGGTAGTAGAAAAGCTGTTAACGGAGCTGGAAAGCAAGGGCAATCTCGTCGTTGGATACGACGCCAACGCCCACCACTTTCAATGAGGCAGTATGGATACCAATGCCAGAGTTGTGTCCATTTTTGATTATATCCTTAAACATAATCCCAAAATAGGTAAAAGAGGAAACGAGGCTACTTTTCAAAATGAACATAGGGAGGAGGTCATTGATCTCACCCTTACAAACATGGATAAATCTTTTACACTGAATTGGAAGGTTTCCGCCGAATGCTCCTTCTTGGATCATCGGAGGATAACATACCAAATCTCAGTAGAGGGACTGCATCAGAAACCTCATAGGAATCCAAGAAAGGCTCGATAGGACAAATACTTGGAGTTTACTGAGTTGATGCTGAAATCTACAAGTATTTTACCGGTAGCCACTGCCTCAATCATTGATGACTCCGTTATTTTAATAGCAAAGATTCTGATTGGTTGTTATGAGAAAACTTGTCCGCTTACCTTCCCTGGCAAAAGATGCCAAATTGTTTGGGGGTCTAAGGATATAGTTAAGCTCAGGAAAGTAAGCAGACGCTTATATAATAGGGCCAACAAGATAAAACTGAGTACGGACTGGGAAGCATACAAATATGCTTTCAACAGGTACAACAGGGAGATCAAGGGGGCTAAAAGGTTACCATGGGTGTGTTTTACTGAGTCTGTAGAAAATGCCAATGAAGCTTCCAGATTTCGTAAGGTTCTTTCAAAGGACCCTAAATCCATTGGATGCATAGAACAAGGAGATGGAAGTTGGACTGACTCTTTTCTAGAGACTCTCAATCTGCTAGCCAGCACTCACTTTCTCAACTGCACAGATGCGAGAAATGATTGACTGACAGAGCAATATAGTCAGCACTGTGGGGTAGTGGAGTTGAGTCTGATTGATAGGATTATAAGCACCCTCATAATTTTATGGGCGATAAACTCCTTTAAACCTTTCAAGTCTCCGGGACCGGACGGCATTGTTCCGCCATGTTACAACACGCATCGACGGTAATAATACCATTTCTGGATGTGATCTTTAGGGCTTGTCTACGCCTCTCTGTCATTCCATCACTGTGGAGGGAAATTACAGTCACTTATATTCCCAAATTATGTATTTCCAAAATACTACAGGCCTATCAGTCTTTCGTCTTTTTCATTGAAAACCCTAGTGAGAATAATAGATATTGAAATCAGATCTCAACTATCCTTGACTTCAATCAGCACTGATCAACATGCCTACACGAAAGGTAAATATGTTAAAACAGCGCCGCATGATACAGTGGGTTTTGTGGAGAAGAACCTGAACTACCCGTTCTTCACCTTGGCAGCCTTTCTCGATATAGAAGGCGCATTCAACAATGTTACACTTGAGGCAATTCATGGTTGCCTTATAAAACTTAGTTTACCACCACCCCTAATTGAATGGATTGATGTAATGCTCAGTAGCAGAATCATCAATTCATGCATTGGGGAGAGCTCTGTCAAGAAATCAGTTACTAAGGGTACCACACAAGCAGAGGTTATCTCACAATTACTCTTGCTTCTGGTGATAAACGATATCCTAAAGGACCTGGAACATGACGGAACAAAAGTAGTGGCTTACGCTGACGATGTGGTTCTGCCGATTGCGGTAGATTGGCACGATGCAGCGGACTCGGCGTGAGCTGGTATTTTTCAAAGGAGGTGGAAAATCCCAGATTTTTCGTTAGGTTAAGACTATCAACGGAAGCTAAGTACCTCGGTACTACCTTTAACCAAAAATGAAATTAGAAAAGGAATATCGAGGAGCGAGTGAAGAGATGCTTAATCGCTCTCTACTCTTGCAGAAACTCCATAGGTAAGAGCTGGGGACTTAAGCCACTTATAATCAAATGGATATATGAATCTGTAGTTCGACCAATTCTTACTTAGTTATTGTAGCAGTTTTACACGTTCTGTTGTTTTTTTTTTTTCGACTAATCCGGTTCTTCCTCAATGTCCAGGTTTAGGAATTCTGCTACCTTTATGGGCTGTAGCCATAGATCCTCTGGACGGAGTTGGGTAGGTTTGGCTGGACAATTAAACAAGTGCAGCGTGTTGTGCGGGCCTGTATCGCACGCTGGGCAGGCGTTCCGCACATCCTTATCAATTCGTGCCCAATACGAATTAAGACGGCTGCACCATCCTGAACGTAGTTGGGCCAAAACTACCCTGGTTTGCCTAGGCAGCCGACGTTCTTCAGCTGCAATGGATGGGGGGTGGACTCCGAGTATGGCATTCATACTGTAATTATTAACTACCTCTGCGACTGCATCAGTATGAATGCTATTCAGACCCGCTTGATAGGCTTCATGATCTAGAGGCTCTCTCTTATATTGCTGGACCTCTCTCTCTAGATCGTGCATGTCCTTCCTGACACGCCTGGGTGGGGGAGTTCTATCCACCATATGGTGGTTAGGGTGACTCCCGCGATAACACCCAAGCAGGTACTGCAACGAAAACATATGATTATGCTGACGTAAGGGAAGAACCTTCGTCTCCTCATGTAGGTGGTCCACAGGCGTCATGAGGAGGCACCCTGTTGCAGTTCTCAGGGCGGCATTCTGGCAGGTCTGAATACTTTTCCACTGCGTTGCACTTGTATTCGCCGACCACACTGGACCCGCATAGCTAACCACAGACCGACCTATCGCTTTATAAGAGGTCAACAAGGTTTCCTTATCCGCACCCCAAGTGCTGCCGGCTAGCGCCTTGAGGACCTTGTTCCTACTTTTCATTTTTTCGCAAATAGCTGTGGCTTGCGCGGAAGACTTGAACATGCTATCGAACGTAAATTATGGTCGGAATTATATGCCCCTCGATCTGCACATTCAGCTGTGTGCTCATCTCCGCAGTCCATGTGGTAAATAGTGTAGCCGTGGATTTAGTGGCGGATATTCTCATATTCCTCGCGTGGAAGAAGGCGGCAAGCTCCGCGAGATAGTTATTCACCCTGACACATATGTCATCAACTACAGGACCCGACGCCATGATCGTACAATCATCCGCATAAGTTACGATCTCGATACCGTCTGGAGGGCGCGGAATTCCGGAAAGGTAGAGGTTAAACAGTTCCGGAGATATCACCCCACCTTGGGGAACTCCCTGTTTCACTCTACGAGGCTTGTACTTCTTATTCCGGAATTCCACGTACGACTGGCGTCCACACATATAGTTGACTATCCAACGTTTCAAATATGGCCGGAGGGTAGTGTTCTCAACGTCCTCGAACAGCGTGGCATGGTTGACCGTATCAAAGGCCTTTGAAAGGTCGAGAGCCACCACTACTGTTCTGTGGCACGGCCTGTTCTGGTTGAGTCCTCGACTGATATGTGTGGATATGGTGTGCAATGCTGTTGTAGTGCTATGTAGTGGACGGAAACCGTGTTGATGGTTAGCAACTGAATAGCTTCCTCTGATACTGGGGAGGAGTAAGGCCTCGAGAGTCTTTGCTACTGGCGACAAAAGCGAAATTGGCCTGTACGATTCGCCATTGCTGGCATCCTTGCCAGACTTCAGTAGCGGGACCACCCTGCCCATTTTCCAGGCTTCGGGAACTATGTGGGTGGCTAACGACAAGTTAAGGACTTTGGTTAAATACTCAACTCCCGGCGTATCCAGTTGCTTCAACATTACCATTGATATTCCGTCCGGGCCCAACGCTTTAGATGACTTAGCGTTTCGGATGACATTCACAACATCACCCATCGTAAACTGTTTAGGTACATCCTCGGCGGGAAGAGCTCTTATACGACGTAGTACTCTTCGCCTCGCCCTATCACTCTCGGGGTGCTCGACAAATTGGCGGTTAAAACAGCCAGCGCACCTCTTCGGATCAGTCACAGTTACGTCGTTAAATGTGACTGCTGTCCTATCATCCTTTTTTCCAGGGTTCGAGAGTGACTTTACCGTTACCCACAGTTTACTCAAATCGGTTCCAATGTTGCAACACTTCAGATGGTCTAGCCACTTTTTCCGCTTATGCTCCTGTACCAACCGGTTGACTTCCACTGTCAGTTCCTTGACTCTGGGATCAGTAGGGTTGGTACGTCGGAGCTCATCACGCTCATTCGTTAATACCGCTGCCTCTGCTGGGAAATTTGGTCTTACTTCGGGTATTCGACCAGCAGGTATATAGCGAGCGGCTGCAGCTTTGATGATGTCCCGGAAAATCCTTTCAGCTACCCGAACATTAGAAGGATTGGGCAGTTCTCTGAAGCGAAGGTTGGTGAACTCTCTGAACTCGGGCCAGTGGGCTTTCCCATGGTTAAGGAAAGTGCGGCGTTCAGAGGTTATGAAATCGGGCGATCTGCTGATGGAGACGATTATCGGGAGATGGTCTGAGCCAAGAGAAATGACGGGTTGCCAAGTCACGTCATTTATCAGACCGGGTGACACGATGGTTAAATCTGGCGAACTGTGACACTCTCCTCTAATTCGGGTGGGGGCATCCTCGTTTACCGTGCAAAATGTGGAGCAGTCAATCTGCTCTGCCAACGCTGATCCCCTCTGGTCATTACCTAGGACGGAATGCCACAACTCATGGTGGGCATTGAAGTCCCCTAGTACCAGGCGGTTATTGCCTTCCAAAAGTGGGCTTATATTAGGCAAGTATCGCGGTTCACAGCTATTAACCGGCGGGATATACACATTAAGCACCTCTACCTCGGCAGTACCACACTTGACTGCTACCCCCATACACTCCATGTACGGGTCACTAGAGACTAGCTCAAGCGAGATAGGTCTGTATTGAACAGAATGGTGTATCAGGAACGCTAATCCCCCACCTCCACTTCTGGTGCGATCTTTCCTTAATACGTTGTAACCATTGCAACGTTGTAAGCTACAATTTTCATTGAGCTTGGTTTCCTGCACCGCTGCGATCTTAATATTCCTCCGATTCATAAAATCCACTATCTCATCAATTTTACCTCGGAGTCCGTTGCAATTGAACTGCAAGAATGATGCATTGTCCGGAATTGGAACAGCAAAATGTGGCGTTAAGGGCTGCGGTAAATGTTGCTGTTCTGGAGACTGCGGGGGAGTCCCATACTCTGACGACGACTCGGAAGGTGACGACGAGGTCGTGGACTCACTGGGGACTACGTTGGTGCAGCACGAAGCAACATAGTCCCTATCGCTATAGTCTCGCAACCGGGTTAAACCGGAACAATTTCTAAAATGCACCCATCCTCTGCATCCATTACATCGCACCGAGACTGATCTATGGTGGATGGTGTTTTGGCAAACCGTACAGAACCATGGTCCGGGGTTTTCCTCAAGCCCGGCACGGACCAAAAGAATCCGGAGCAAGCATTCCGGGATGTGCTGCTCCCAAAACAGAAAAATAAACAAACACGAACATGTATATACTGGGTTGGCAGCCGCTGGCCGAAACTGGAATGTTGTTGTTTCGGGTCAATCCGGTGTCGTAGAACCCGCTGCCGTGGGATTGATTCTTACTTAGTGGGCTATTGTGGTGGCAAGCTTTTGGCAAAGCTACATTCAGCAAAAACATTGATAAAGTCCAAAGAGTAGCATCGTTACTAATTACAGGTGCCTTTAAAAGCACACCCCAATCTGCACTTGACACCCTACATAACCTTAAACCCTTAAGTCTTTTTGTAGAGGAACAAGCTGCTAGGTGTGCCCTACGACTCAATGAACTTGATCAAAGGCGGAGTCAGTTCTCTTGGACAATATTCTTAAGTATGTTGAGGGTATGGGAGGTCGGGCTATAACCAGTGATTTTATATTACCCAGGCAACGTTTCCAAACACTGGACATCCATATACCAAACAGGGACATCTGGACCCGGAACACACCACCTTTTAACGGTAAAGCCCGCTATGCCGATGGTTCAAAGATGGAAAGTGCACGGGAGCTGGAGTCTTCTATAAAAGCTTGAATATACGGAGATCCGGAGAAATGCTATGGAAAAGTTTAAGACATCTGTCAAACTTTGTTGGGTCCGTGGTCATTGTAACATATCCGGCAATGAATCAGCAGATGAATTGACCAGAGGCGGATCTGAGTAGATCCAGAGATCGATAGCTCAGTGAACGATTGTGTCACTTCTTACAAGTATTTTTATCAATTAGCCAGAAGATTAAAATGGCTAAAGACAATACGCTGATCACAACGTGGATACACTTTCACACTCTTCTTAAACTTAAACTTAAACCTTTTCTCCAAATAGGATGAACACAATGGGCCAGCAGATCACCGAGTGGAGTGGCTGTGTTTTAAACAACTACGTATCCTTTAACCTAACCCTTATCATGTGTATTAATGACATCATGCAATCAGTTGTTGACAGCTGATGCTGTCTGTTTTTGTATGACATCCATGTTGTCTTCAGAGCGGTTGATAATTCATAGGTTAGATAATTGGTGAACTCTATTGCCTTTTCTCCTTCACCGTGGATTTCTTTTAATGGATTTGTGATCAACTGGAATAAAACTAAAGCTACATTGATCAATACCCATGGTAATGGATAAGTTTGGACACCGTGATTGTGGATCTTGTGGATGAAATGAACACGTGGACAATGAAGATGACTTACTGAGGTCTTCATTGGCCCAGCAGGAAGCAATTTCCCTATCGTTATACTCCTGTCTCCGATTTAAGCCACATCAATGCAACCACTCAATGTATCCGTTACATCTCACCGAGACTGATCTGTGTAGAAGCGATTATGACAAACGGAGCAGAACCATGGTCCGGGATTGGCCTTAACACCCGCTCGGCCATGGATAAAACATTTCGGGTAATGTTGCTCCCACATCAAAAAAACACGAACATGTATTTGCAGGGTTGTCGGTTACTGGTCGAAGTTTGGTTCCTTCGAGTCAATCTGGAACATAGAACCGACAGTCCAAGGGGTTTGATTCAAATTTAAGGGTGTTACGCTGTTAGTTACTTCTTCTGCTCTAATTTCTGAGTAATAAAGTAGTTATTTTCTGTTATAACTTCAATCTGCTGCACATCCCCATTGAAAAAAAAATCAAAGTCAACGGGGAAAAGATAATTTTATTATATAGTGCACATAGAAAAATGTAACCAAATTTGCCATCGAAGTGAAATAAGCATGCATACATATGCATCTTTATATACTACCGTGATATATAGGGAATAAAAAGGCATGAAAAAATGATTCATTAAAGTTTTTATGTTTTTGTTTAGAAATATGTAAGAATATATTAATTGTTGATACGCTAATGAATAATTGGTTTAACAAATGCTATATTGCAAATAATTAGGGCAGTTTGTGGATCATTATATCCGGGTGCGTATACGGATTATTTGCGTCGTTATGTTCGCATATAGCTCAGGAGAGTTGTTAAAAAAGAAACAAGTAAAATAGAATCTAATTTCGGTCGGGCCGAAGTTTAAATAACCTCCACCATTTGCAACTAACTTGCAAATTGTTATAAAAATTCTGTTGCAAAATGCTACTAAAATTTTAAAAACTCCATGGATCTGCACAGATAATTATCAGTCACAGAAAGTAGTATCTATTTGCCATATTTAAAATTTAAAATAATTCCGATGAAAAGTGTAAATAGAATTTTCAGAACACCGAATACCTAGAGGTACCGTTATATGACGGCTATACGAAAACGCGGACCTACCACGAACTCCATATAATTCTGTTGATCAATATGGCTAAAATCTTCACAAACCCGAATATAGGGATATACCATACTATATGGGGGCTATACGAAGAGGTGGACATGTAGACATTTTTAGAAGTAGAAGGTGGTGCCCATTACGGTGTTCAAATACAAAACTTGAAACATTCTGGTGAAAATTGTAAAAAAAAACATCAAAAAATACCCAATTTGCGGCGGTACTGTTATATGGGTCTTATATCAAAACTTTGAACTATATGTACAGTTCCCTGCATGGAGCTCTCCTACAAACCACGTGGAGCGAAAATTATAAAAACTTAATTTGTACTGATTCAATTTTATCAGAGTAAAATTTATAAAGTGGCCTTCGCAATATAAAGCCATATTCTAATACTGTACAAACCAGATATAATAATATACTTTGAGTTACGTAAGGATCATCAACCTCTTCGTACGGTGAAGACTAATAAAGATTTTGCTTCAATAACGCAATAATCAATATCTGTTAAGATAATACGAGAAAAAATATTTATTTTCTTAACATTACAATTATAAGAAACTTTAAAATGTTTTGGGGTGTAAGATGAAAAAAGTCGACAAATAAACTAGCAATCTCTGAGTTATGATCTCATCATATTAAATGTTGGAGTTTACAGAGTAGCATATATTCCTTGCGGAAAAATACTTTAAAAAATTCAGCGCAGTACTCGACTTTTAAAACAGTAAACAGATCTATATTTTGTTTAATTGTCGGTACAGAGATAGATAATGCAAATTACGTTTCTCATAAAATGTTGAAAGACATGAGCCAATGTTGTCATTATGACGCAATATAGTGCTCGGTAAAAGAAAGTGAAGTTTGTTTTCCCAAAGTTACGCCTATCAATCCAAGCATGAGCAGAAATAAATTAAATGAAGAGTTTCTCAATCCAAGATTTATCAACAGGATGTACATAGGGACCGGATATCCAAGTTAGTTAGAATCCCTTACACAAATTAACGAAAAATAGCCTGTAAGCAATGAAGACACTTAACAAATAAATCGCACAGTTTAAAAAGATTTCAAGTTCAGAATTAGGTGAAATATATGAAGAAGTTAAAAAGATAGCGTTAACTATGACATTTCATTTTGCACAAATAGTTTTTCTCATTACGCTATCCCTTCTCTAAACATGATAATTATCAATGAATAACTCAGTGTCCAGAACATTACATTTTAGCCACGTTTCAGAAACATCACATTTAATTACGTTTCAGTGATTATTTTATATTCAGATCATTTAACTATTATTTTATTTCATTCGCCGTAGTAATCAATTTCCTTTTACTGCCTAAAAGTAATTCTAAATTTTGAATGAAAAAAAATTTTAGTTTAGGGAATTTTTTTGAAAATTATATATTATCCCAACCTCTAAACGTCATCGCATAAGAAAATCTTTTGGAGCAAGGTGAGTTTAAGGGCTACGCTCGATCTTTTTGAAATTTTTACCGCAGGTAGATATTTTTAATTTATTAAGGGAAACAATTTTTTGAGGGGGAATACTCGATTACCCGGTTATTTGACCCGAAAGTTTGGATACACCATCCGGTTTTTATCCGGTTCTACAAAATCGTTACCAACAAAATGGGTATAATTTGCACCTTTCTTCTCTGGGGTATGTCCAACACTGACTACGCGATCCTAAACTTTATTCTCTAAACTTTATAACTTTTTTAAGTAGCCGGAATTCGACTTTAAATTCAATATCAATAAATCTATATACAAAGCTATAAAGGTTAGATACTTATTAGTGGAGAAAATCGCAATTTCATGATTTGCAACACGAATATCGTCGGAACTAAAAGAGATATCATTGGTACCATTTCATCATATGGTATCATTTTAGAAAGGCCAGAGTAGACTACAATGAATGTTGCCGTTTTTAATATCCCATAATAGGTCCATATTCAAAAAGTTCCGCTACAAAAATAACAATTTTCTTGTATTACTCTAGAAATTTTCTTGTATTACTGTGACCCATCATATGACCACTTGTTAGATAGGTACAACCGGATAAAAACCTGTAAACCTGGCTGAATAAATCCGGATTAAGGAATAAATTCTAATTATGTGAGACAAATCAACACTGATATACTGATCAAGAATATTTATACTTTGTGGAGTCTAAAAGCTTTTTTCGAGGCGTTACACACGGATTGGCAAATTTAATATACACTCTATACTATGTTGGAGGGTATTAAAAGTATAAAGACATAAGCGAATGATATTCAATGAATGTTTTTAGTCTTTCTTTAAACATATGTATGTATGTATATTAATAGCAGGAACGTACCAAAAAACAGTATTCGGGCAGTGGGCCTCATTGTAAAAATAAGAATGTTCAAAAAGACGAAAATATTTCGGTATCGGAAATTGATTTTAAATATAGATGTTTTCTGTTCGGCTCCTGGAGAGATCTTTCATTGAGCGGTACTACCTTATCAACGCACATCGAACAATAATATTGACATGTACCTTTTGGAGTACCAAAGACTGACTGAACTTTCAAAGAGCTCTTGTTCTGCATCGTGGTACTTCTGACAAAGTTTTCAAAATGATCCTCTGGCGCCCTAAAGCCTGCATTTAGTCCCTTTTTCTTTAAACTTATATAAACAATGTTTTTCATACTTGCGTTCTTTCGCCATCGGTCTGCATACCACACCCTTCTATTGTGCTTTTTGGCAAAATATCTGGCACAGAAATTATATCGAAATCATTATCTTGAAGATGGCCTACAGCATACTCCTTTATGGCGTGCTCCAATTCTGCCAATTTCCCGAACAAGTAATAACTTTTGTGGCCCGTATAATTTCCCAAATGGTCCATACGAAATATGTTCATATATTTCGAAGCCTCGGAAAATTCTGTAGCTTTCTCATTATAATTGTTGGGTTCAAAAATTTCTATTTGTTTAGGTTCAGTTCCGTATTCTCGCAGTCTAGGGTGAGTTGAATTTGGTAGTTTTAAAAGTTCTGTTTTCAATGTGTCATATTCACAGACTGTTTTTAAATTGTTTACAAGTTCACGTAAAAGCTGAACATTATTATTGTGTTGCCGTAACACAACATTTTCTTCTATTTTGTCTAAGTATGATGCTGTTAACTTTTTCAGCTCTTCCGGAAGATATTTCATGTATTTGCTGGTAGAAGAAAATGATCGCACTACCATTTTTAAGCGTAAATGCCTTAAAAATTAATAAATTAATGCAAAAAAAATGGAATTACAAAACTCTTTACCTCATTGTCAGGAAACTATGAATCGATTTTTAAATAGTGTAAAAATGCGTATGATATATGATCTGCCCAAGAACCTGGAAGAATGTAATCTGGGTGTAGTTAGCAACATTGCTAACTATTGATAACTTCGGTTTTCCTAAAACTACTGGGTGATTCAGAACATTGAAATTTTATACATAATACTTTTTTTCAACGGTGCGATACCAAAAAACTGGAACCAATTTAATAACAAATTTAAATAAAATAAATAAATGTAGTTTGATATGCATATAAAGAAATTTTTGAGCGATTTGAAAATTTAGATAAGGCAACTGAGAGTTAATCGAGAAAATTGGTGTAAGTCTACATTTTTACGCTCTATAAGATCAGAGCACGGATAATGTTGAACATTTTCCATGATTCTGCTGAAAATACGACTAAAACGTTAGCTGGATCATAGCTACACCAAATGGTCCTTAGTTGAAATTATTTTAAGACTTAAGAATCGAAATCCCAGGTGTCCTCATAAAACAATTAACATTATGTGACTTGAATATTTTGAATAAATGACTGGAGTGAAATCGAAGTACGATTTTATTTAGGATTCCATATATATTAGCCACACACTAGCGTCAATGTATACACCACATTTTAAGACATAGCCCGTTTCTACCAATACAAAGACCCTAGAATCCCGGATAGAATTCAACAATCTTCAAAGACTTTCTTTGAATGTTTATGTGAATCGCACAAATCGAGTTGAGTAGTTTGCCAAAATTGTGATTGCACGAAATATGCCTTATTTGGAGGGAAACTAGCCGCAATTGGCTTTATTTTTTGTCCGGGCGGCCAGAATTTTGTCACAAAGCCGAAACCAAATTTCACAACACACATCACAACGACCGTTGATAACTGATCTGCAAGAAAGATATTAAAATAAGTTTAAAATAAGTCGAAAAAGATACGCACAGCGCACAGTACAGGTAGTAGTAATCATGGTAGAAGAATATAGGTAGATGCATCAACGCTTGGGAACATTAATATGTCAAAATTTTTAAAATGTTTTATCAAAAATTAGTATATTTTTAAATGTTTTCTTATACGACGCAATTCGGTGGTTGTTATATTATGAATTTTTCAACAATTTTTACAAATTTAAATAATTTTTCATTCAACATTTTCAATTCCAAATTCGGTTTGACAGTTCATTGTCCCAGCAGCTGTGTCGATGCGACTACCTGTATTCTTCCACCATGGTAGTAATAAAATATAGGTGCGTGAAGTTCGCAACGACGCTAACTTTCGATAACAACGAGTTATCGAAATTCACAGTGTGACGCCCAATTTCTCTTTTAGTACCTTTTTTCAACGGTGTTGATGAAAAATAATAATAACAAATAAAATAATTATTTAATGAAATTATAAATCAAAAATTCAATGGGGGTAGTAAATAGTTCCATATAATAAAATTTAAGTCATTTCTCAATGGTTTCATGCGAAAGACCATTATCAAATCAATTCAAAAACAGCATAATTTTCCAGCTAGATCTTACCGGTGGTCAGGACAGAAGATCGGCTCTGGAGGCTTCGCTATACAAACCTCGTTCAAAACTAAATATTAGAATTAAAGAGGAGGTCTACACGAACATTTTCGTATCAATACTTAGTCCAAAATCAGTTTTTGGTAGAACAAAGTTAGAGATTTTCTGATTTCCAACTGGTGGTCAGGACAGAAGATCGGCTCTGGAGGCTTCCCTATACAAACCTCGTTCGAAACGAACTATTAGAATTAAAGAGGGGATCTTCACGAAATTTTTGTATCAATACTTAGTCCAAAATCAGTTTTTGGTAGAACAAAGTTGGATACTTTCTGATTTCCAACAGGTGGTCAGGACAGAGGATCGGCTCTGGAGGCCTCCCTATACAAACCTCGTCCAAAATGAACAATTATAATAAAAGTGGAGGTCATCGCGAGCGTTTTCGTATCAATACTTAGTCCAAAATCAGTTTTTAGTAGAAGAAAATTTGGAGATTTTTTGATTTCCAAGTGATAGTCAGCACAGAAGATCGGCTCTGGAGGCTTCCCAATACAAACTTCGTCCAATGCGAACTATTAGAATTAAAGAGGGGGCCTTCACGAACATTTTCGTATCAATGCTTAGTCCAAAATCAGTTTTTGGTAGAACAAAGTTGGAGATTTTCTGATTTCCAACTGGTGGTCAGGACAGAAGATCGGCTCTGGAAGCTTCCCTATACAAACCTCGTCCGAAATGAAATATTAGAATTAACGAGGAGGTCTTCACGAACATTTTCGTATCAATACTTAGTCCAAAATCAGTTTTTGGTAGGACAAAATTTTCAAACTTCTGTGATCAGAACGGAAATCTGGGTCTGGAATCCTCCATATAAAAACATCAAAAAAACTTTTGTGATTGGAACTAAATGCAAGATTTAATTGAAAAATGTTTAGTACATTTTCTAACAAACACTTCGATTTAAGATTTAGTTGACAAAGGTCACCATGTACAGGGGTACGTTGAGTATCGGATATGCGAATTTCAACAATGGTGGACAGTGTTGTAAGACCTAGAATGCAGCGAGGCTGATCAACCATTACATTTGTAAACTGATGACAGAATTCGTAATCTAAAATATAAGAAAAATAGTAAGAAATTCAAAACTGACTAAAACATAGGTACTCAAATTTGTCTTATTTCTGAAACAAATGCCGGTGTGGATCAGGTCAATGCAAATTGTCACAATTTTTGAAAAGTATGTTCCTTATCCATTTATACCCTCCATTATAGTATGGAGGGTATATTAAGTTTGTCACTTCGAAATATACATTTTAGATTCCACAAAATATATGTATTCTTCATTGGCATAAAATTCTATGTCGATTTAGCTAACCTGTATTTTTCTACCATTGGTAAAACGTGTGTAAAAAAATACTGGTAGTCGCATCGACACATAGATAGTCGCTGCTGGGACAATAAATTGTCAAACCAATTTTATAGTTGAAAATGTTAAATTAAAAATTATTGAAAAATACATATCATAACAATCTCCGATTTGCATCGTATAAGAATACATATAAAAAATCTTCCTATTTTTGACAAAACTTTTAAAATTTTTTTCACATCTCAATGTTCCGAAGTGTTGCTTCTTCTACCATGGGTTCACCCGCCGAATCTATTAAGCCCAGTTAATCATCTATAGTCTAAACGTACCATTCATTGTACAATCGTGTGTTCTAACCATGGTAGAGAATATAGGTAGACGCGTCGACACAGCTGCTGGAACAATGAACTGTCAAACCAATTTTGGAATTGAAAATGTTGAATGAAAAATTATTTAAATTTGAAATGACGTCGTATAAGAAAACATGTAACAATCTACTTATATTTGAAAAAACATTTAAAATTGTTTGTCATATCAATGTTTCCAAGCGTTGATGCATCTACCCGTATTCTTCTACAATGATCCAAAGATAGGAGAGTGAATAGCACAATATCTTAAATATTTAACGCCGTCTTAAGAGCTGCTGTATCTGTCAACATCGAAAACAAATATAAATTATTAAGTAAATTAATCAATGATTATACATTATTAGATTTGTGTAGAATATTTAAATAAACCCGGATTCTTTAAACTGCAATATCAGTCTCATTGCAGAGTTGGCATATATTGCATTTTGTGAAAATTACCTTCCTGTCACCTTATCTAATCTAATCTCTAACTAATAATAATATAATATAATAATATACATTTATAATATACATTTATTGACTAATTTACTTAATGATTTATATTCTTCTACCATGCTTTGGAGTTAGAACACACGATATTACAATGGTACGTATAGACTAAGGATGATGAACTCACTGGCATGGTAGAAGAATATAGGTAGACGCATCGACACAGCTGCTGGGCCAATGAACTGTCAAACGAATTTTGGAATTGTAAATGTTAAATGAAAAATTATTTAAATTTGTACAAATTGTTGAAAAAGGTCTTTTATAATAACCTCCGAATGACGTCGTATAAGAAAATATATAAAAATCTACTTATATTTGAAAAAAAATTAATTTTTTTGACACGTCGATGCTCCCAAGCGTTGATGCATCTACCTGTATTTTTCTACCATGCTAACTGTGTTTAATAGATTCGGCGGGTTAACCCATGGTAGAAGAATACAGGTAGATGCAGCAACGCTTGGGAATATTGATATGTTAAAAAATGTAAAATGTTTTGTCAAAAATAAGTAGATTTTTATATGTATACTTATACGATGCAAATCGGAGGTTTTTATGATATGTATTTTCAACAATTTGTACAAATTTCAATAATTTCGTTGTTGCAAAATGGTCAGCCTTAATCCCTTTACTGTTGTTTTTATAAAAACAACGTTTGTTTATTAGAGAAAAACGATGGTAATGTGTACCAGGGGGTAAGAAAGGGGATACCTACGATTCGGAAAGAGCCACCAATCCTCATCAGTTGCCTTGTGTTTTGTCTGGGATATTCTCCCCAATGTTATTTTAAAAATAACTTCTATGACAAATAAACTTTTTTTACCCAAGTGACAAGTTTCTAAGCTCAATAGAAGAGGAACCAAATAATTTTTAATTTAACATTTTCAATTCCGAAATTGGTTTGACAATTCATTGTCCCAGCAGCTGTGTCGATGCGACTACCTGTATTCTTCTACACATGGTTTACCTATGGTAGAAAAATACAGGTTAGCTAAATCGACATAGAATTTTATGCCAATGAAGAATACATATATTTTGTGGAATCTAAAATGTATATTTCGAAGTGACAAACTTAATATACCCTCCATACTATAATGGAGGGTATAAATGGATAAGGAACATACTTTTCAAAAATTGTGACAATTTGCATTGACCTGATCCACACCGGCATTTGTTTCAGAAACACGACAATTTCACTGAGCTTTAGTCAGTTTTGAATTTCTTACTATTTTTCTTATATTTTAGATTACGAATTCTGTCATCAGTTTACAAATGCAATGGTTGATCAGCCTCGCTGCATTCTAGGTCTTACAACACAAAAATTTTCACATCCGATACTCAATTTACCCCCATACATGCTGACCTTTGTCAACTAAGTCTTAAATCGAAGTGTTTGTTAGAAAATGTATTAAACATTTATCAATTAAATCTTACATTTAGTTCCAATCACAATAGTTTTTTTCGATGTTTTTATATGGAGGCTTCCAGAGCCAGATTCCCGTCCTGACCACCAGTGGAATATCAGAAAATTGGAAAATTTGTTATACCAAAAACTGACTTGGAGAACATTTTATATGCCAAAATACTCGTAAGGGCTTCCACTTTCATTAGGCACTCACAGTTTTTTGTACGTTTTTATATGGAGGCTTCCAGAGCCAGATTCCCGTCCTGACCACCAGTAGAATATCAGAAAATTGGAAAATTTGTTGTACCAAAAACTGACTTGGAGAACATTTTATATGCCAAAATACTCGAACGGGCTCCCACTTTCATTTGGCATTCACAGTTTTCCGTCCTGACCACCAGTGGAATATTAGAAAATTGGAAAATTTGTTCTACCAAAAACTGACTTAGAGAACATTTTATATGCCAAAATACTCGTAAGGTCTTCCACTTTCATTTGGCATTTACAGTTTTTTAGACGTCTTTATATGGAGGCTTCCAGAGCCAGATTCCCGTCATGACCATCAGTGGAATATCAGAATTTAAAACTGTTGTTGTATCACAAACTGATTGCGATATTATATATGGAATTAATAACTGGGGTATGAGAATTCATAAACGAACAACATTTGTTTCTTTTATGGACTTTTTCATTCATAATTTTATAAATAAATTTTGTTTTCAAACCGGATCCAGGTTTTTCTCTGACGCACAGTTGAAAGAAAAGTATTAAATGTGAAATTTCGATGTTCTGAGACACCCTGTAGTTTTGGTGAAATTCGATGTTATCGATAGTTAGCAACGTTGCTAACTTCTCGCAGGTGGAATGTAATAGCATGTTTCCATTGAAAACCGAACAACGTTGTTCGCTCTCAGAATTAGGTACACGAATTAACCCGTTCATACGGCGCGATTCGTAATTCATAGTAAAATAATTCCTTTTTTCAAAATTTTGTTTGTTGATTTTAATGGGATTTTTTACTAAAATACATTAAATTCTCACTAATATGGATAGAAGAAATGATTATTTTTCTCCCAAAGATTTATTATAACATTAATTTTATAATTTTCATTCACGTCTCCAACTTTTTGTGTAAATGTTGACATTTTGAGCATATTTGTGTATTTTTCTATTTTTAAATTCTGCTGGAGAGACACTTGTCAAACATTTTTTCTGCCGATACAAACATTTTGAAAATATTGCCTGTTTTGTTTCCTGTTTTCTGTGGTCATTTTAACTCGTGGACAAAATGCGTACCTCGAATGAGAGAGAACAAAAAATTTACTTTCGTTTGAATGTACATACGCTATTCTACATTGTAGTTTTCATTCATAAATTTCAGTCTTCCCAAAATTTTTCAAAATTTCATTAAATTTTTCTATTTTCAATTTTAAATGTCATAATTAATTTTTTCGATAAATGTTCTCAATTGTTAGGGATGGGACATATATTTTTGTTGTTCTGAGAGTGATTTGATTTGAACAATGTTTAAATATGAGTGTTCGCTCAGGAAATTTTGTGTGAAGAATTAAGTAGTTTTTTCATAGTTAAGGGTCAAACAACGAATAGAGAGCGAATCAAGTGCAGTGGAAACGCCACATAAAACTTCATGGTATAATTGTTACAGGTAACAGCAATTAAGTGAGTAATTCTTTATTTTTGTCTTCTTCTTTCTATGATAAGTTTACAAAGCGAATGCTTAACATGGTATACTTAGAACTATTGTTGTCATGTTCTAACTTAACGGTGACGTATGTGATTTCGCTACATTGCGTGAATGAGAAGGCGGAATGTTTAAAATAAAAACAGATTGAAATTATGAGAGAGACTTGCTCACGGTCTCAAATGTTACGAAAAACTAAATAACAAGCAGGGATCTGTTAAATAATTTGACTAACAGAGATCATAGTATTCTATGACGATCATTTAAATAACTATTACTAAAATTTTATTTGTATAAATCGAGCGCTCAGGTACTGTTTAGAGCTTATTAATCTAACTATTAGTGAGTATTATAATTTGTAAAAAAAATTCCAATATATACATATATATTTTTTAATTTTATATTTTTTTAGTTCAACCTCTATGGTTGCCAGGTGCTGATTTGTTGTAAAAATTAGGTAGTGTGTATTCGTTGGGGACATCCATGGCAGAAGAATACAGGTAGATGCATCAACGCTTGGGAGCATTGATATGTCAAAAAATGTTCAATGTTTTTTCAAATAAACGCAGATTTTTATATGTTTTCTTATACGAAGAGGATTTGGAGGTTATTAGTGTTTATCAACAATTTTTATTAATTTAAGTAATTTCTCATTCAACATTTTAAATTCCAAAATTGGTTTGACAGTTCATTCTCCCACCAGTTGTGTCGATGCTTCTACCTATATTCTTCTACCATGGGGACATCTGTGGCTGGTTCGTTTAATATACCAAAAAGAGGTAATATGATTCTGACCACGATATGTGCTTTTCCATTTGGTAGATTTCATTCATTAGTGAGTTTTCATGACTTTCGAGTTTTTCCACGAATTTCTTCTGTGGCTTTGGATATACCTACAAAATGGAACGACCCGGGCAGTGTTGCAGTATCTCTTTTCCTGTGAAATGTAGCTTTTGTTGATACATTTTCTTAAAATCTTGCGTTCTAGGATTTTTAACTCCTTGGCCGCTATTGGGGAAATAGAGAACCAGATCGGAAACCCGTACGGTAAGATAGATCTGATTGCAACTTTATAGAGAAGTAGTTTCGTGTTTTGTGGTAGGTATTTGCTTTTTAATAGACATGAAAACTTTACTAATATACCTTTTGTCTTTTGCATGACGGACCGTGCGTGTTCATTGAACTTCATAAAATTGGTGAAAGTAATACCCAGGTATTTGAGGGTGGTTTTGAAAGGAATCTCAACTCCTTCAAGAGATAGCTGGAGTTCTTTACTCTCTGGAATAACGTTTCTGGGGCATTTTCCTGAAGCGTTCCGGAAACATATTGCTACTGATTTCTCGGCATTGATTTTGACTCCACATTTTTGATAAAATTCATGAATGCTTTGGAGATGAGTTCTAGCGTTTTGTAAGGCGTTTTTGGACGAAATGTTGTGTGCATAAATTAAGCAGTCGTCGGCATATAAAATCGCTTGGGAGCCTTGGCTGACGTGGGGAAAGTCATACAGGAAAATGTTGAAAAGGTATGGGGCTAAAATACTTCCTTGAGGTACCCAACTTTTTACTAAGCCCGTTGCAGACGAAATGTTATTGATGTTAAATAAAAACTTTCGTGCACAGAGAAAACTTGCCATCAACTTGACCAGATATGGGTCTAGACCAATTTGGATTAACTTGTAAAGTACTCCTGCGTGACATACTGAGTCAAATGCTTTCTGGATATCTAAGGAAATTGCTACAGTTGACACTTGGTTCCTTAGGTTTGACGTTATATCACTGTGGAGCTTCAGTAGTGCATGTTGTGTGGAATGGCCCGATTTAAACCCAAATTGGTACGGTGAGATTGGACTTATTGTTAATTCGTTTTCCATTTTTTCTTTTAGGACTGCACCAAATAACTTCCCGATGTTGGACAGTAGTGATATTGGTCGAAAATTGCTCAAGGTGTTGTCATTAGTCATTTTCTTTTTTATGGGGATAATTTTCGCCAATTTCCAGAGTGATGGGAAATATCCATTGTTAATGCAGTTGTTGAATAGACATATAAGCAAATTTATAACATTATCAGAGAATTTTTTAACGAGAAAATTGGAAATTTTATCCGGGCCGCATGATTTTTTATGGTTGAGATTTGCAATTGTGATTTTTATCTTTTCAGGGTTGGTGAAGTGAAAAGAATCTGGATTGTTCAATGAGTTGAAGTTATCATCAAATGAATAGATGTGCGGTGGAGCGGCGTTGATACATGTTGTGACTCTAGAGTTAAGATCGTTTACAGGATTTGTGGGCAAATTTTCCTGAAATATTACAGAATAAAATTGTTTAAAATTATTAGCAATTTCTGAACTTTCTATAATGGTTTCATTTCCGATTTGAAGTTTTTGGCAAAATATTGATTTATTTTTGCCGGTAAATTGAGCAACTTTTTTAAATGCTGATGGTCCAGGTTTGATGGTTTTCAATTTATTACTGAACGCCTGCGCTGATTCAGTATTGATTAGATCTTGGATGATGATTTTAAGAAGTTGGATTTGCTTGGAAAGAATTGAGTATTCAGGGCTTACCCTATTGCCAGTACGGTGAAAAATCTTCTTTAGTTCCTTCTGCCATCTGTGTTTAACTTTAAGGAAATTCTGAACCCTGTCGGAGAAAGGCGGTTTATGAATATTTAATGGAATTTTTTGTGAATGGCTGTTATGAATACCAAGAACTTCGCTGTTAAAGTTTTTGATGATATTATCAATTGTCCATTTAATAGGTTCCTATTGGTTGGGTTGACATTAAATCCAGGTCTTGTCGAAAATCATTCCAATTTGTGTTTTTATATGAGGTGAAAAACTTTGGCTGTCTCAAAAATAGATGTGTGCAATGATGTGATAATACCAGTTTAATGGGAAAGTGGTCGGAAAAAGTTGGCAGCGTTTGAATATTGTAGCCTTGGGTCCCGGGATCGACCAAGTGAAAGGAAATTAGGAAGTTGTCCAAAAATGAGGAACCATTTGGATACCATGGGGTGGAACCACAAAGACGTGTAAAGTCTAGTGAGTTATCAGCCAGCCATGCACGCAGTGTTTCGCCATTAGAATTTTCATATAGATCACCCCATGTGGTACTTTTTGAGTTTAGGTCACCCCCAAGAATAAACGCATCAAAGTTTTTGCAAAGTTGTAGCAATTTGTGTAAATCAGATTTAAGAATGTTTGCTGGCATACTGCAGGGAATATATACATAGCCTATGAGGTATTTGAAGGTGTTATTGTTTCTCAATATTTCTATTTGAATAAGCGACGTACCAATACCGACGTCGTTTAAAGGAACTCTGGAAAATTTGATATTCTTTTTCGCAATTACTGCTATTCCAACAGGAGAGTTGTCATATATAAAGTTATAGCCATTAATCCACACTTTCTTGTTGTTCCGTAGATAGTATTCTTGAATAAAAACAAAAGCTATGTTCTCACGATGGAGCACCTTTTCTACTTCAAGTTGTTGTAGTGAGCGTACGTTGAGTGTAAGAAATAAAAATGTTTTATGCTCCATAAGTAGATTTTACTTTTGTGGGAAGCCTTAAGAATTCTTGCTTTGCTTCTGCATTTGACTTTTTTTGGAAAGTGTTTAAGAATATTTCAATTTCTTGTTCTAGAGAAAGTACTTTAGGTTCTAGAAATAAATTGGCAAGTTCAAGGAATTGTTGTATTAGAGGTGGCTTCTGAGAAAACTCTGATCCCTTTACAGATGTTTTAAAATTACTGGCAAACGTCTTACCCGGGGATATTATAGACATGTTTAGTGCTTCACTCACGTTATTTTGCGCGATCGATTTAGCTTCCATTGCGTTGGCGACTTTTTTCCGTCTGGCTGCGACATAGGCTTTATATGACGGACAGCCTCTCCAGTTGGCCGGGTGATTTACCGCAATTGACGCAGTAGGGTCCTGATGAATCTGTCGCAGTACGCTGGTACTCACCGGGAAGGTGTTTTTGGTCACATTTAACACATACATATGAACAGTTGCAGTTGCGGGGATGTGACCATGACCTTGACATCTGCGGCATTGAGGATCACGATCTTTTCTCTTCGGTTTTTAACATTTGATAATCTGTCTATTTATTATATATTATTATATTATTTTATGTGGGTAATCTCACTAACTTTTTTCCCTGGCATTAATGATACCAAAAAAGGCCAGTATCAATGTTTTTCTTTATAGACATAGGAGTCTTAAATTTTGAAACATTTGCCACTTTGTCAGGAACTAGACTGTCCAACTCATCTTTAATTTCCTGGAAGTCAGAAAATTCGTGGAGATCCCGGATCAGAATTGAATCTTGTTTCAGCTCTTTTGGCGTGAATGTATAGGAGTTTATTGTTTTTGCCCTCAGTATGACCATCATGGAAGCATCAACTTTTGGATCCGACAGGAATATTTTGCTCTTTGTCTTATTTATGTTTTTCATTTTTAATGAGGATTGTGGAATTGATGCTTTTAGTGACTCAATCAACGTCATCATATCATCACATTAAAGACAAAAATTGGCGGCCACCAAGATATTTTGTTTTTGTGTCTCCCATCTCTGGTTGCGCGGGTTTTTGCATTTTTATGCCTATGCCTTTTTGCAATGCCTATGTAAACGTCCGCTAGAGCACCTAAAATTCCAAATTTGTTAGGATCGTCAGGATTGTGATTCAATATTCGCTCTTTTAAGTCAGCAATATTTATGTTTACTGGTGACTGTGCATTTTCAAGACGTTGTCTTTTGCGTTCGTTTTTTTGCAGTCATTGGGTTGTTTGTTTGTTGTTGATAATGACGGAAAATAATTTGAAGTTAATGCAATAACTTCGGGTACGTCGTATTCCATATCAGGAAGGGTGTCAGGCATCTCCATTGCAATTGAATGCAAATCTGATGCAGTCAGATAAAAAATACTTTAAATACGCAAAATTAACAGCTTTAATCAGCACGTCTGGTATGCTGTAGGGTTCACTAGGTTTTTTCAGGTAACAGCAAGTTCCAGCTGATTTGACTCTATAGTAATACTAGTGTCAAACGCGATATGACGCTCTGTGACTTAATTCCATTTCTTGATATGTAATAGATATACCCTTTTTTGATACAAAATTTCACTGCAGAGCAATTTGAACATATTGTTTGCCTAATAATAGCAAAAATCGCCGCTGTACTTAACAAAATGCCAAAGGCGATGGTTCGGTAACTTTTTTTGCGGTTAAGGAACAGCGACACCACGTTAGATAATATATTCGTATATTTCATGTTTCCTAAAACTGCAAAGTGTAGAATACTTTATGTATGTATGCTGTTTGGCTTCAACTTGAGAGTGATGTTGCCTTATCCGCGAATTTCTAGCGATTGCTTGAAGTGTTAAGAGATTAGGACAAACATCTAACAACTATACATTCAGGGGAATGATGTGAAAGCATTAAAATTAAATATTTTAAGAACTATTTTTCTGCAATTTCAATTTAATAATCCAAATTCCGAAAATGTACGTTTTTGAAATTAAAATAATTTATTGAAAATTAATTATTTTGTATACATTTTTGGACACATAACTCTGACACTTGTATTACTTACAAAAACAAATTTGTATGTGGTTGTTTTTACGATTGTTGTACAACAACACTTGCTGTTACCTGTATTCTTTTACTATGGCAAAGACATATAATATAATAAGATGGGACAATACATTGTCACTTTTATTCAATAGATGGCGTTGGTTGTCACGATATCGTGACATAACATTTTGTTATAACTTAACAGAGCTGACGCATTCTAAATGTTGTTGGCGATTTTTATCGATTCAAAGTACAAGGAAATGCTCTGGAATATATATTTGAGAGCATGTCTATCATACATTATTTTTTTCCGCGTATTTCCGCCATTTTTCGGCGATATCGGAATAACATATTTTTTTTGTAAATTTCCATTGCATTTCTGTTATGTGGTCTGCCATCTATTACCTGATAGAGAAAGTAAAGCCCATATGTATTTTGTCCAATCTTTATAGTTTTATGTCTTTGACCATGGTACAACTTTTTACTACGATAACCGATTTTCCCTTTCTAATGTGGCGTTTCCACTGCACTTGATTCGCTCTCTATTCGTTGTTTGACCCTTAACTATGAAAAAACTACTTAATTCTTCACACAAAATTTCCTGAGCGAACACTTATATTTGTACGTTGTTCAAATCAAATCACTCTCAGAACAACGAAAAAATATGTCCCATCCCTAAAAAATGAGAGCATTTATCGGAAAAATAAATTATGACATTTAAAAATTAAAAATAGAAAAATTTTATGAAATTTTAAAAATTTTTGGGAAGACTGAAGTTATGAATGACAACTACAATGTTGAATGGCGAAAGTAAATTTTGTTTTCTCTCTCATTCGAGGTGCGCATTTTGTCCACGAGTTGAAATTTCCACGGAAAACTGCAAACAAAAGAGGCAATATTTTCAAAATGTTTCTATCGGCAGAAAAATTGTTTGACAAGTGTCTCTCCAGCAGAATTTAAAAATGGAAAAACACCAAAATATGTTCAAAATGTCAACATTTACACAAAAAGTTGAAAACATGAATGAAAATTGTAAAATTAATGATATAAAAAATCTTTGGGAGGAAAACAATAATTTCTTTTATTCATAAAAGTGAGAATTTCATGTATTTTCGTATAAATTCCCATTAAAATCAACA